ATCAAGTTCATTGACCGCTTCGTAGTTAATACATGCAGTTCTAGCATCTTGAAAGGAACAGTTTGACATTTTTAACAGCTCTCTTTCCAAACTCAGTATGTTAATTCCTGCAATTAATCGATCTCTCAGTTGCACATGAAGTTGATCGCCGAAATTACACTTGGCAGCTTGTTTCTGTAATTCAAGGATGAATTCCCGAGCCTTTTGGTCATTTTGACGAACCATCTTATGAAACTTCGCCCTTTCACGGCATTCAAAACTGGTGCATTTTACATGACTTAATAATAGAAATTTAAGAGTTGCATAAGGGAGTGAGATAGGTTTTTCTGGATATGCCAAAGTTTTTAAAAAGCTGTACGTTTCTCTCTCAATGAATGTGAGGAAGTGCGCCACAATATTAGCATCCTCATCATCTTCCTTCGTCATGCTCCAAACTTCGAAACTTTCCAAGTAATCCTCAAAAGCTTCAGGAGTTGAATGAATATCTAACTTTTCCATTGCAGGCTCCATCGTGACGCCAATATGGTATTGTAATTGTCGTATGAACTAGGAATTCCAGGATTAACGCAATTCAATTAAGAAGACACAGGCACAAATGAATGTATTGTATTTAGAATTCGGAATCAAGCATTCAACCAGTACAAAGGTATCATTAGTTCATTCAAACACCACATGAACCCAATATTCTTTGCAATTACACGGAACCTGCGTTTTTTATTATGGTATATATTGTGCTAACACATTTGAAACTTGTGCATTATTGCATTTCTGGAGAAAGCCGAAGTGGTTTCTTCGGAACACTTATGTACCCATAAGCCGTTTGTAAATAATAATCAGTATAGCAGAATGGACCATATCCAGACCTACGAAGTGTCTTTTTCAGGTGCTACTGTTTTCGGCATATCGAGTCGGTGCCTAGATTGCAGGCGAAACATTTACCAATATAGATAGTGTGAGTCGGTTGAAATGTCCGAAAGTACTATTCTGTCAGAAGTTCAGCGGCGTCACCATTGTTGTTGGTTGGGCGATCAGAACCTTCTAAATTCATCTCAGAAGATTACCTGGTGTGGCCTTTAAAAGAAGAATGTAGAACGGTTACCATTTAAAGAAAGGTGCCTTCTGGACACACTGCTCCGAAGAACCTTCTTTTAAACTGGTCGACGCAATCAAAGAAATTGGGTCAAAAGGAGGTCGAGTCAAACTTTTGTGCGCCGCCAAGGTGTTGTTGATCCACTAAGCAAAGCCCAAATCTTGCGCGCAAAAACGATAATTACAACCTTTCGTCCTTTCTCGGCCCTAATTCCCTTCTGTAGTATGCTTTTTTAGTTAGTGTTTAGTAATTTTAAGTCGTAATAAGTTATCATTATCCATTAACAATTTTTTATTGTGGCTATTCAGTTGTTATTATGTTCTTTATGTTTTGCATGATTCTTCACACCTGTCAAGCTGACAATTATGTTTCATAATTCTGACCTGTAAATTATTTTCATCCCTATATTCTTCTCTGTCCACTTAATTATTAAGCAACCTCATTTGATAATTGGAGTCTCGAACCACTTTATGATGCAAAATTTTCTATCGTTCTATAGACATTTATATTTACCACACAACTATAAATACGTATGCACAGTTAAAGTAAATAATTTCATCGAAAAAGAAATTTTATTCGCTGAATTATCTTTATTCTTATCCAACGAGAAAATGGGTTATTTTGTCCACATTGTAGTCTTTTATGCATTTTGAAAATCTCTTATTGCTTGTGAACGGATTAAATTTTATCCATTTCTTGAAATCTCCCTGAGTTCCTTAGTGTCCTCTTATTGTTGCATGTTTCTTTACAGTATGCATGGTGTTACTTCTAGTTGATATGATGAGAAACACGACAAGTAAGTGATTAGCATATCTATGTACCACTGGTTGTAGTTCATTGACAACTTTTTTCCTCGCTCCTGTGATTTTATCTCGGATCCGCACAGAGTCTCTTTTAAGCCACGCCAGGTAGCAGATGTGATGAATCACTAGGTCGTAGGGCCTGAATACCATATTGTAAAGTGAGTCAGACTGATATACACTGATCCCATCCATCTGTAGACAAACTCGCGTAGGAGATTGATTTCATCTTCAATTAACATGAGCCCTCTACAAATGGTTTTATCTTAAACCACTTTGACCACACTGCATCCAACATTACGTTTCATCAAACGACGATTTCCCAGTAAAACGTGTTTGTTCAGTGTGACGCACCTCTAAATGAAGATGATTGTCAAAGCCATTGGAATTTGTTTGGTTGAATCAAATCGAGATGGACTGGCGTGTAGACGTATGACTTGGTTTACTTGTGGACATGCGTTCGTTGTTGACGCTTGCATCACCACCATAAAAGAATAAGGTAGCTGAGTGGGGGTTAATCAATATGGGGTTTCTCAGTATAACCGTTTTCAGGCGGAAACTTTTGAATGTGAATGTCAATTATAACTTAGTCCAGGGAGTTTGACGTTGTGCTGTCAGATTGCTATGACGGAAGAGCATTATTATTGAGCTTATCTGCTTTACATTGTTGAAAACTATATTTTTATCGTCATACAGCCTGACTGTTTCTGTTTCGGAATTAAGATTCCAATATAGACATGTCTTTTTGCATAGCTGTTTACACAAGTTGCTTAGTTGCTTCTTGACTGCGTTCTTCGGCTATCGTTATAATCTATAGAGCCTTTTACTCAACCTCAACCGAATATGCACTGAGACGGAAAAACATTTTGCCACAAGCTAATACTTTATTGCTTCTATCTTCCAGCCTCTTTCTCTCAGTTGACCAACTAGTTATGATACTCAAGTAAATCCACGGCTGTGACGAGCACTATAGCATTACTATACACAAAAACCCAGTCCAAATGCTTGTTTAAATCAAAGTCGAGATAATCGTGTCCTTTTAGCATGTGATGATGCTCTGAACATTGCCTTATTCTGATGATAATTCAGGGTTACGAAAAGAACGCTTACCTAGGTAGCAGTATAGATGGAGTAGAAAGTCTTTGCTATTACACGCGCAACTTCTAATGAGAATATTTCCACAGTCTATGGGTTCCATTGACATGCACTGGCAAGTTAACTATGGTAACTGGACAACCATGGAGTTTCCTGTATTTAGAAAGTGCCTAGGCATTTTGCGTTATTTATACTGATTAAATGATGATTCTTTTGCAATTGACTATGCGCTGATTACGAACACGAAATCTGATGTGACCATTTGTCCACATCTCGTTCTACTTTTCTTATCGATTATATATAGTCTATGTCCAATACACAACCGGACAGACACATGACGGACGTAAGGAGTAGACGCACGATGGACTAGAGAAGTTTGGATTGCCATTTAAGCTGTAGTGGTTGCAGTATTTATATTAACTAATAATGATTTCGTAATCGGCTGCGTGAGTTCATTTGTCCTCATCTCGTTCTACGTTCCTCAAATAACAGTTTTTTGGAAATTATTAGCACAATAATTCGAACAGCCCTAATTATTATTCTTTTGCACTATGCTATTAAGTGTCGCCTGCGCTTTTGATCAGTATCTGTGAAAGAGATTGTTTGTATGAAGAATTTTTTTCTAACATCCAGGATGCATTTCACTTGCTACTATGGACCGAGATGTGGGATAGGTAGTTAAAAAAACCAATACTATTGTCGAAAATACGATTGACAATTACATCAAATAAGGCTGATACAACATACTTCATCGATTACTATGGTAAAGACCGTACCTGAGAATAACAGTAGAGGTTAAGAGTAATCTGACGACCTGATATTAGAATTAAAAAATCAGTATGTTGTTTCAGGATTAACTACTTTATTTTATCCTGTTTTTGTCAGCTGAATTATAGGTTTGACTGGGTTTGACGCACTTCCCTTGTCTCTTCATGTCTTTGCTAAGTTGAGTGGGATGAATATATGATAAACTCTTGCTTCATAGTAGACATCAGGGCCAGACGACTGAAACTTCTTTTCTTCATGGCACAATAAGGGAATAAAGGTATAAGTTTACCAGACTCACCTTTCCACTTTATTCGTTTGTAACAGATTATGAAAAGTTGAAGTGTAAATAAGCATCAGTTCCACAAATTTGTTTTCGCGATTAATCTGGGCAACTAAGCTGACCTTTCAAAGAAGAAGGGGCTGAGCTCATGAAAAGTGGAATAAGAAGGAGCTCCTTTTCTTTTTAGTTCGTACATAACCAGAATGTGTTGTCGATCTAGTGGATATATGGTTAGGAAACTCACATCAAAGTCAGAGATCTTTTAACCGAAACCATTAATTGACTTCCCACTTGTTTCCTGAAATTCACCTCAATTGTGGTTGACGTGGTCTAAAATGTCTTAAATTAGAAAAAAATACCGCAAGTTTCTAAAACCCTTCCACCTTGTAATTGTGATTTACGATAACGAGATATAAAACCACTGAAAAAAGTTTTACAAAAATATTGGCTTGACTGACAAATACACTACTACCTACGAATGAAAAAAGTATGAGATAATGTGTATGCACACTGATAAGTCTATTGAGTAATATTTTTGCATTCTTATGCAGTTAAGGTTATTCAAATATATCTTTTTATCAATCGTGGGTGAAAACATTATCGTTTAGGTTACAAACCAATTTGGATTGCATTAAATATGATACGGAAAAGCCATACTTCTACTTATATTCTGAGATCATTTACTGTGTGTGAACAGACCTACGGGCATGATCAGAGTGATAGATGTAAACGAATTATGAAGAGTTTTTTCACGTCAGGACTATATATATATATATATATATATATATATATATATATATATATATATATATATATATATATATATATATATATATTAAAGCCTTTGCCATCATAACAGAATGAGTTAGAATAAAACACTTGATACAAAAGTTTGATACAATCAGTAGCCTTACGTAAATTTCTGAATGGTAATATCCATGGATAACAAAAGTAAATGAGCGAAATTCTTTCTTGACATAAGTATGTAGATACATTTACATCTATCGAAACTATAATAAATATATGTTATTGTCTATATTTGTCTTAAATAAAGGTTAATAATGTCCCATTCACTGTTAAAACGTAATATATAAACCTGTTTACACAAATATTTCGTGGTATACATAACTATGTATATTAAATGACAACTAACTTTCTGTTCATACTGTTTATAACATTCAAGTTTTGCAGATTAATTGTAAGTTGCTTTATAAGTGTGTATGAAAAGAATTCAGTTATTTGTGTCGTTCATCACTACTTTTTTATCCATTTCATTGTCGTCATCATCACCATCATTATAATATTGTTTGTCTACACTCCACGGCCATTCACCAGTAAGCATATATATTTTCCAATCTGGCATATTTCCCATAGCATCAGTGATTTCTTCAACATCAAACAGATCAAACTGTTTGAAAAAGAAGGCAATCATCTCCCCTGTGAGGCGATGCATTGCGTTAGTTTGGCGGCATGTTATAGTACGATAATATTCCACTGGGATAATTAAACAAAAATAAGAAAGAAATTCACACGTAGGTCTTGGAGCTGGGAATCCTGGAAGTACTGTCCTTACTATGCATTCAAAAAACCAACTATGAAACGGTTTTACATATTTTATAAGCCATTCATCTACGCAAACAACAAATCTCCAAAAACCAAACAAAAAACAACAACACATTTAGTGAGAGATATAGTTTAAATGATACAGTAGTCAATACTTTATATTGAGCTATTATAAGGTATAATGATTATCGATATATTTAACAAGTAAATCGATAGCATAAAATTATAGAAGATATAGGGTAAGAAATGCTCTAGCTGTTAATGAATTTATTATTTTATTTCCTAGACATCATCTTATAATGTTTTGAATTATTTGAATTATAGTACAAACTAAGAGTCCCAGAAATAACGCAATTGAATTAAGAAGTAAGACACAAACACAAACGCATGTACTGTATTTGGAATTCGAAATCAAACATTCAACAAGTACCAAGGTATCATTAGTTCATTCAAACACCACACATCTGTAAAGTTTTATGATGAATACCGCGTTCTTAGTTTATCAAATATCAAAAATACCCTTGTTTATGTGAAGAAATATACTCTTCATTAGGTATATTACATGACTTGTAACTGGAATTCTGTGTGAAATACTATTTTTTAAATCAGATATCGTAAGTATTTTGTAAGGTTGTAGCCTGGCGTCGAGTTGAGGTTAACTATGAACACCGCTACAAAGAAACACGTGCCAAATAAATCAGAAGGCGAAGGTTGGACGTAACCAAATAAATCCATAAAATCCACGAGAAGCCGAATACCAGAAGGCAATTAATGGACCAAATCGAGATATATTCGCTGGCGATCTCGTGGCATCGAAAGGATACCGAGATCGTGCCAGAATACAAGCTTGGTTACAGAACGTAACCGAATTCGCGCGAAGTTACAATCAAAGTGTAAGTAAAGGAATGGAAGCAAAATAAAGCTGTCATTAGCACAGTCAAACAAAAGCACGTAAAAACAAACACTGGTACAGTTGGTTATAATAATAATTGTTTTTATTAAACCAGTCGTGTTCTCGTGATAAATGTGAGTCACTACAGGAGCCCCCCGCTAGAAAGGGTTTACACTTTCGATAAATAGCGGTTTAAATCGTGGGACTGATCGGCTAACGAGCGATTGTAGGACGGAAGAATTGGCGAACAGGAAAGCGATCGTTGATCGTCGAGTTGCCAACGAAGGTCGTTTTCGGAGAACGGTACCAGGAGCGATGTGCTGTATTTGTTGCTTGAGTTGGCATGCTGCACCAGAGTGGTTTGTATCCAGAATCTGAAGATGGCGTTCGTAGGGAATGCGGACCAGAAACGCTGCAGACGAAGGACGAAACCACGTTGAGCCAAAAGACCAGAAGCGACCATAACGACCAAGTTCGAGACCAAGCGTATGCCAAGCATTCGAAACCAATATATCGACTGAGTACGTTGACAAGAGCGTGGGTGATCAGGCCAGCTTTCGCCAAAGTTGACTGAAGTCGACGGAACCAAACGGAGATGGTCGAAGGCGTGGGCTCAGGAAACAAAAAAGCAAAAAAGAGAAGAGTGTAGCATGCGTGTAGCATAGGAATAGTCCTACACCGTATCGGTTGTTAACTGTGCGGCTAGTCGCGGAAGCGTACGGGCAACCATACTCGGCGACCGGAACGTGAGACGGTAGTCTCGTTCGTATTTCGTGAGCCTGCAATCTCATCCGAGGTCAGAGGCGGCGTGGTCTGCTGATCTGGACGTGAGACTGTCGTCTCGTCCGTAGACGGTGCAGATGACGCGTGCTGTTGACCGGGACGTGAGAATGAGGTCTCAGATGTATCTAGCGTGGGACCTGAAGAAGATTTAAGGATCCCGCTAGCAGGTTTGATAGGTCTAGCATTGAATCTCAGGTTACCAGATAGGGCACTGTCATCGACGTGTGCTGGTTTGAGACGATCAATGCTGACGATCTCGACGCGTCCATATCGATCAACCTTGAAGGTCTTTTCGTGACGAGCGATCACGTGAAAAGGGCCTTCGTAAGGTTGTTGCCAAGGTTTGCGTACCGAATCTACTCGTACAAAAACATGTGAACAGGTAGATAACTCTCGAGGGAGAGCGACCTGTCGATGTTGTATTCGAGTTGACACCGGAGACAGCGTTCGCATAAATGCAGACAGTCGATGGACGTAGTCTGATTTACCGAAATTAGGTCTGCTCCGTGGTGTGAAGAATTCTCCGGGCAGACGCAATGTCGTGCCGTATACAAGTTCAGCGGCGGAACATTGGATATCTGCCTTCAAGCTCGTTCTGATCCCTAAAAGAACGAGCGGTAAGGTTTCGTGCCAGTTGCCGTTTTCGTGTGCTCGTAGAGCACTTTTAAGTTGGCAGTGAAACCGTTTACTTAACCATTTGGTGCTGGGTGGTAGACAGATATGCTTATGCGTATGCATTCCGTACCAAGCAGCCGGGTCAGCGAGGAGAATAGTTAATAGGGGAAAATTTCTCGAATAAAGCGTGGAATTCATCGTCACGCGAATAAAAAGTGACAAGGATTCGGTACACATACATGTGAGTCTATTATATTAATACTATTCTTATCGTTATCCGTCATGTCGCGTATATTATATATTAAAAAATATGAAAATATACGACAGACGTGGATAGATAAATCATAGACTCACCGAATTGGCTTCTTTGGAAGATTTGACCAGAGGTTGAGGCGTGTTCCAAACCTTGGGATCACCAATTGCAGCGTGGCGTCGAGTCGAAATTGACTATGAACACCGCTACAAAGAAACACGTGCCAAATAGATCAGAAGGCGAAGGTTGGACGTAACCAAATAAATCCATAAAATCCACGAGAAGCCGAATACCAGAAGGCAATTAATGGACCAAGTCGAGATATATTCGCTGGCGATCTCGTGGCATCGAAAGGATACCGAGATCGTGCCAGGATACAAGCTTGGTTACAGAACGTAACCGAATTCGCGCGAAGTTACAATCAAAGTGTAAGTAAAGGAATGGAAGCAAAATAAAGCTGTCATTAGCACAGTCAAACAAAAGCACGTTAAAACAAACACTGGTACAGTTGGTTATAATAATAATTGTTTTTATTAAACCAGTCGTGTTCTCGTGATAAATGTGAGTCACTACAAGGTCTTCAGAAAACATCTCATTCTGTATAACTATTATTTACTCTAACTTCGGTGTAGAAATCAGTTAATTAATGTAAATCTTTTATATTTCAGCTTTAATTACTAACTTCAGTTTATTTACGTCACACGGCTATAAAATTTATTGATTTCAAGTGGTCGTAAAACTTTTATTTTGTAACTTGTAATTGAAAATAGTTGGTTAGATGCTTTGAGAATAACCAATTTTATTCTTAGTTCTAAAGGTTGTATAAATCCTGATGAGAATCATAGAAGCAAATTTCCTTAATTTAACCTTAGTAGGATTAGTAATTGTATGAAGAAATCTGTTTAGATGTGAACATATAATCTCATACTGTCTTTTGGTTATTAAAAAAGGAATATTGTTTGATCAACGATGATGTAACAAAGTCGAAAGAGTTTGTAAAATATCAATGATGAGGTTGTCAACAGACTTAATTATGAAAAAGATCTACTTTGAACGAAACATTGGTTTCGTATGTTTTGAGAGAGAAAATGCACAGTCAACTATTTTTACGTCTTGGATTCGACTATGTTCACTGTTATCCCTAAACTTAGTTAAAACATGTATCAATGTTAAGAGAAATCGGAGACTAGGAACCTAATAAAATAAATGTATGTGTGGTAAAATTGTTGATAAGAGAATTGGACTAGCAAATGGTTGCGTAAGTGTTAATCTTATTTAGAACCTCGTTACTTTATATCACTATGTAGAATTGGATAACTTTACGAAGTCATGACATTTCGTACAATGGGTATGTAAGTAGATGGGAATATCTGTCAGATTATTTTTCTGACAATATAAATAAAATTTTGATTAGGAATGACACTTTCAATTCCACACAGGATACAAATGAAAATACTCGCTGTTTGCACAATTGAAAATATTTCACTGTCGTGATCTTTTTTTCAGATTGTAGATTATTCTGAGCGTCATTTACCAATCTAAATTTATTGAAGATTTCAGACTATGACTGTTTAGGCAAAAAAATTGAATTTAACAAATATTAATGTAATACAAAAACAGAATAAAATGACAGTTTGGCACTGAAAAATACAGTGAATTTTTCATCAAAAAATAAACGGATTGAAAATAGCTTTCCTTGTATGTTAGGAAATTTGAACTGTCTATTTGTGGTTTGGTAGGTCAGTCTAATAATTAATTCTTTAGTTTTGTTTGATGTTTTACGTGTCAAATATATTTCTTTTTAAATCTTACACTCCACATTCAAAAGCAGATCGATTAATTTCGATTAAGAAAACAACATATAAAGGGGAATGGTGTTCGAATAGTTTACTCATTATTGTACTAAGTGGTTGGAAATAGTCAGCAGGAGCTATAACATTTAGCTTGGTATGTTAAGTAATACTACAATTTCCATCATTTGTAAGTGAATAACACTAGTTCACGTTTTACGAAAAACATCTATCTCCTTAAGACTGGATATACAGCTTACTCTCAAGAACTATTTAACCTAAAAATCAAGTCTCGGAATTTTCGTCAATTATCTTCAATCATCTAATTCATAAAAAAGTGCATTACAGTGTTGACTCAATTAGACTGATGGTCAGAACATAATTTCACAGATAGCAGTTAGTCGGAAGTAATGGATTAGAGATGATGTTAGTTACTGCTACCTTATCAGGATGCGATATAACTTGATATCGCGTTTTTATTTAGTGTATTTTCATTGAGTATAATATTGTCTGTACTCGTTTACAGTGATATTCTTGCAATATGATATGCCTGTTCGTTTTTTATTAATTGGTGAGAAATGCTTTCTAGTATTTTTATTATTCTTAAGCGTATTGTTGATTGAGCAATAATCAAGTGATCGTAAAATTCAAACATAAAGCCAAGTGCTTTCAGGTTTTTCATAATGGTTTAGCTTAAATTGACTCATGAATTCGACTATTAAATTACTATAATATCCACAAAACCCCTCACTGATTATAATCATCATATGCTCAGTAATGACGGTCTCCG